TATAAACCAGAGCTGATATGACATATCAAGTACATAAATAATTTAATTCATTGGATTGTGGGAGAACTCATCATTCTATTAATTCCTTCTTATACAGTATATTCTCACTAATATATTATATTATATTAAATGATACCAACAATGTTTTTCCTGTAGTTTTATCGTTATTCACTAGAAGCTTTAGTAATATATAATAAACTAATATAAGTGTGAAATCCAAAATAGACTTATAGCTCTGATGCGATATAGGGAATATTCCTTTAATGATAATAGTCCTCATTTATTTACATTAATATATATATATATACTATATATTTACATATAGCTACCTCTTTACATTAGAATACACCACATAAGGAATAAGTCAAACTTACTTGTTAAGTAGGCAGCCATAGTAGTTCAAATCCGGATTGCGAGATTTTTCGGTATTATTTCCCTCCTATCACTATGGTGGTAGGTGATCATTTATTAATTAATTTAGGCTCGGATTATGTAAACCTATTATTAGGTGCGTTAGTAAATTGGGGTTTCAAGTCAAATTGGTGACCAAGTGTTGGACATCCTTGTTGCCATAAGTAATCGGCTCTAGGGGATGGAGTATAGTTGATAAGGTAAGAGAAATAGAGAGGGTAATACTTATTAGCAAAAATAACCTATAATTAGCGACTTGGATTCTACATTATCATTGATATATTATCAGTTTTTATAATTAATTAGATTGTAATCATTCATTATGGACATTTTCCTTACATTATATTTATTCATATTGAAGTATATAGATACTTCTAATAACTATCATATTATTTAGTTAGACCATCAATTACTAAATTTTATCTAATGATATATCACATATAAATAAATTTAAGAAAACAAAATTTAGTTTACAAAGCAGAAATATAGATATAATATACAATAAATTGCAATAATATACATCAATGAGGGTAAAATAAGAAGATAAAAATAGTTACATATTATAAAATACTACAAGCTCAAATTTTAATATTGGTTATAATATATAATATATACAATTTATTAATTTTATATAATATCAATATATTACAAGTATCAAATAAACCATTTACATGCAATACAGGACATCACCTATATTTGATTTTAGAAATATTATTAAAACACATTATTTGCCAAGTGTAAATTACATGAAAATCAACTCAATATTAAAACAGACAATCACAAAACACTCACAATGATTTAGTAATATATCCAAATTGGCACTATTTTACTTATAAATTATTTCACTGTCTAATCACAATAAACATTAAAACACAATAATTTATGTTAATTCATGCATGCCACAAGGCAATACTACCAACAATTATTACACTCACATGTGTCAATGACACTACAATAAAACAAACAAACAAAACAAACGACTCACAAAAAAAGATGTGGCTACTGGTAACAAAGGATCTGACAATATCAGGATAATCATCTTAACTTGAATATAGTGTTCATATATCGCTATTCTCATATCTCACTAATTCGCAAATCAGTATAACACACACACAGCATCACAATATATATATTAATATATATTATATATATATATATATATATATATAACGTACACAACATACATCATAACATACAAACACAAACACAAGCATACTAGGACAATAATGCAACGCAACTCACATTCACACTTACCTATCACACCACACCCGTGCCTCTCACACCCGAACATGGACCTTAAACCCAAGGTTTAAGCAACACCCTTAAAATTCGACTAGCAGAACACATGCAATATGGCTGACAACAACACATCCCATAACACAGCGACCTTACATCAGCTGTGCCCATCAGACCTAAGCGCCAACACACTCCTTACAAGCGCACGACACATTCATAAATTCCGCTTCAAGGTTCCCGGCACCAATACAACAACCCAGAAGCCAAACTCGAATGATTGATAACAGCCGTGGACAACACCACATACACACACACACACGCAGGGCATAATCAAGGATGAGAGGAAAACTCGATCATGCCAATACCAAGTGGAGAGCAAAACGGGTCTCATTTTTCGCTCTTTAGCTCTAATCAGAGTGTGGCTTTAAACCGTCCTGTGTGCGAGTCATAGACGAGTGCAAACTCCGCATGGCGCCTAGGGACAGGAGCGAGTTCATGCCGTGCAGGAAAGGAGAGAAAGCCATAGGAGGCGCTTTGTCTTTACCAGCGGGTCGATTGAGAGGGGCATGGTGGGGGTTTTGACGAAATGGACATACTTGGCGGGTGGCATGTCAACAACAGATAGTATCTTTTAGCATCTACGCCCTCGTTTTGGGGTCATAACATGCATATGCCCATGTGGGTGCACTTCCATAGTTTGCTTATTTATATTACTGGGTGGCATGCTTTATGGGTTAAGGTTGGCTTTCTTTTTCCTTGGCATATTATTTGAGCACTTGGTGGGATGGGCACATTTCCATATTGTTGTGTGCGATATTTATTCTTCAGTTTTTAATTTTGAATGATAAGAGGT